CGCAAAACCTCCGTACATCTCGCTTAAGATGTGGCCAAAAGAAATGTTCTTGTACAGCGGCCAACGTTTTGTCTACTCCGAAGTGACCAGCGAGAGCTCCTCCATGAGCTTCTCGAAGTATGACATCCCGTAACGATCCTTGAGGGATACATAGACGTCTATCTCGGAAAAGGTACCCATCGTGTAAGTAATAAGGACCGAAGCCACCTTTCTTACATTCTTCTACGAGGGTTCCAAAGTCAAGGTCGTCCTCATAACGTGCTTTGACGTGCTCAAAGCCGAACAATCTCGTCTCCATGACCGAGATCAATGTGTGTCGGCGAGACAAAGCATCTGCCACAACATTCTCCTTTCCTTTCTTGTACTTGATAATGTACGGGAATGTTTCAATAAACTCTAACCACTTAGCGTGCCGACGCTTAAGAGTGGTCTGGCCCTTGAGATGCTTTAGCGTCTCATGATCCGAATGCACTACGAATTCCTTGGCCAACAAGTAATGTTGCCAAGTCTCTAGAGCTCGTACAAGTGCATATAGCTCCTTGTCATAGGTCGGGTAATTGAGCGCAGCCCCGCTTAGCTTTTCACTAAAGAAAGCTACGGGTTTCTTTTCTTGCATAAGGACGGCTCCTATGCCAATCCCGGATGCGTCGCACTCGACCTCAAATGTCTTGTCAAAGTTCGGGAGAACCAAGACGGGAGCATGTGTAAGGCTGTCCTTGAGCGCAGCAAAGGCGCGCTCTTGTGTATCTCCCCACTCGAAGGGTACGTCCTTCTTGATGACCGCAGTAAGGGGAGCGGCTATGCTACTAAAATCCCGCACGAAACGACGGTAAAAGCTAGCTAAGCCGTGGAAACTACGCACGTGTCCAACAGTGGTAGGGGTCGGCCATTCCGTTATGGCTTGGATCTTTTCCTCATCGCCCCTAAGTCCACTAGAACTAACCACGAAGCCTAGGAAGACGATCTCGTTAGTGCAGAACGAGCATTTCTTCAAATTGGCGTAAAGGCTCTCTCTCCGCAAGGTGGTTAGGACTTGTTCCAAGTGAGTCACGTGGTCCGCCTCGGTTCGACTGTACACGAGGATGTCGTCAAAGTACACGACCACGAATTTTCCAATGAAGGCTCTCAAAATGTGATTCATGAGCCTCATGAAGGTACTCGGGGCATTAGTGAGCCCGAAAGGCATTACAAGCCACTCATAGAGTCCTTGTTTCGTCTTGAAGGGGTTTTCCATTCGTCGCCTTCTTTCATTCGGACTTGATGATAGCCACTTTTCAAGTCGATCTTTGAGAAGATCGTGGCTCCACTAAGCTCGTCGAGCATATCATCAAGGCGGGGAATTGGATGGCGATACTTGACCGTGATGTTGTTTATTGCACGGCAGTCTACGCACATCCGCCACGTCCCGTCTTTCTTCGGTACTAGGAGTACCGGAACAGCGCATGGACTCAAACTCTCCCTAATGTACCCTTATCCATCAGCTCTCGAACCTGCTTCTCGAGCTCTTTTGTTTCCTCGGGGTTCATACGGTAGGCTGGCCGGTTAGGTAGCGGCGCACCGGGTACTAGATCGATTTGGTGCTCAATACCGCGAATTGGAGGGAGTCCTGCTGGGATATCCTCGGGAAAAACATCCTGGAACTGATCAAGAAGCCGTGATATGGCTGGATTCTCGTGAGAGGAATCAGTTCGGAGTGTGATTTGGTCCTTAAATACCATCAGGATCACCGAATGACACTCTCGCCTAAGGGCCTTCTCGACTTGACTAGACCGAATGTAGAAATTTTCCTTTTTCACTTCGGTTTCCTTGGCGAGTCGCAGTTGCATCTCGTGGACTTGAGATGGCGTTAAAGGAGCGAGCACAATCTTCTTCTTGTTGTGTATAAGAGAGTACTGGTTGGCTCGTCCGTCGTGCATGACCTCTCGGTCAAATTGCCAGGGTCGTCCTAGTAGCATGTGACCCGCTTGCATGGGAACGACATCACACACGACCTCATCGTGGTAACGTCCGATGCTAAAAGGAATTTTTACTCTCTCGCTCACTTTGATTTCCCCTTGGTTATTCAACCATTGTAGCTTATAGGGGTGCGGATGTTTTTCGGGCGTAAGTCCTAATTTCTTCACCATGTAGGCGCTAGCCACATTGGTGCACGACCCACTGTCGATTATCAACCCGCAAACCTTTCCTTGGATGGTGCAACGAGTATGGAATATTGTCTCTCGTTGTGCGGTCTCGTCCGGGTTTACCATAGTACTAAGAACTCGTCGGGTAACTAAGAGTTCCCCACTGTCGGGATATTCGATCTCTTCCTCGAGATCATCCGCCTCTTCCTCGTCTAGAGACTCGTATTCTCCCTTTTCGGTGATGATCATTACTCGGGAGTTTGGACAATCACGAGCCATATGTCCCCGACCCCGACACTTATAACACATAATCTCCCTAGTTCTAGTGTCACGAGGAGCATCATGGTTGGGTTTGGTTTGCGATGTCTCGGGGGATTTTCTGTGACACCCGAATCCCGCATCCCGTGAACAGGATATGCCACATGGACAAAACCAATAAAATATCATAAAACCGAAAGTACGGGAATTAAAAAATCATTTTTACATAAAAGTACGCAGCGGAAATAACACTCATCACACGTCTTTTAAAACAACACATGTCCAAAAACGTAATTTAAACACAACCGTTTTCACATGGAACCATGTTCCACAGTCCAAAACACACGAAAGATAAAATGTCCGTACATGATGTCACCGTTCCCAAGTTGTCGTCGTCGCAAGTGCGCTACTCGTACTCCTCGGGATCTGAAAAAAATTCAACAACAGAGGGCTAAGCATAATGCTTAGTGAATGGCTCGGATTGAGCCCGGAGAGCCCATTCTCATGGAGAACGGTGCCAACTAATCTCTCAATACAAGAATTCTTTTAATCCATTTAATCCTTTCTCATTTATCTTTTTAACACTTTAACATTATTTCACACATTTTTCCGATACCTGATAGTACTGACTCAAGTCGTCCACCGGCACTATCAGGTACCGTTCCTTTCGGTATCATCTAGTACTGACTCAATTCGTCTACCGGTACTAGACTTTACCCTGCTCCCCTATAATAGTACTGACTCCACTTCGTCAACCGGTACTATTACAAAGGCGACCACTCAGATCCACCAGTACTGACTCCACGCCGTCAACCGGTACTGGCTTCACTACACATTTCCTTAACGGTACTGACTCCAAGTTCGTCAACCGGTACCGTTACAGAAGTGTCCACCCAACTATACCAGTACTGACTCCACATCGTCAACCGGTACTGGTATTCCATTTCGGTAATAGTACTGACTCCCAGTTCGTCAACCGGTACTATTACCGAAACCACACACCACCCAGTGCTGACTCCAAATTCGTCAACCGGCACTGGTTCAATATCCACACATCCCCGTACTAGTACTGACTCATGCCGTCAACCGGTACTAAGTACGGGGTTCCTTAGTCATTCAATCATATGCATCCATCCACACAAAATTATTTACCATCTTATTTCCTTATTATTATCCTTGATACCCACAAAGGTTTTTGGTTTAATCATCCTATCTTTTGTTATTCCATGTTTATATAATCATTTATCATACTTGTTTCTTAGTTTTCCATTGAATCACTTCTTAATCCCTTTACCACAACTTAATCCGTGAACCTATATTCGGGGTTGCAGCTAGTCAAAAACGCCTAGACCGAACGGTCCAGCGATTTTGAGATTTTTCACTATTCAAAAACGCCTAGACCGTCCGTTCTAAGAGAACAGACCTTCTCGGTCCGGTTTCGTTTGGACCGTCCGTTCTACAAGGTCCAGAACGGGCGGTCCAGCTAACTAGACCGTCCGTTCTCCGTTATTTTCTAGACCGGACGTTCCGGGTTCTACTGGGTCAGTCGTTCCAGTTTGTTCATACGCGTTCGTTCTGCTGTGTCCCAGAACGGACGGTCTACGTCGTAGACCGGACGGTCTGGGACTCAGATCTTCGTCTTCCTCACGAGTTCAGTCCGATTTTTCGCCATTTTTGCCCAAATTCTGATCCGATTTAAGATCTAATTGTTACCCACTCAATGTTTAACATCCCTAGGTGCTCAACTCTTGCAGAATCACTAGCCTACACCATAAATCATGAAAATAGAATCTCACAAACCCAATCCAAACCACTCACCTCGGATTCAAGTGATGTGCGTTTTTGTCCGAGCTCGTGTGTGTTCTTCAGGCCGTCTTTGGTCATGAAACTTTCCAGGAACCTCCTTGAGATGTCCTACTTTGATTTCCCGAGCTTGTTTCGCCTCAAATCTCCCTGAATCTCTCTATTTTCCTCTGTTTTCGAAGAACAGGTTCTGGGTTGCAGAATGGCGATCTTCACCTGTTGGAGCCGGTTAAATCGACCTCTAACGCCGCCATAGGAGCTAGGGAGAGGGTAGGAGGGCCAGAGGGTGTCGTCCACTGCGTCTGGGTGGCGTTCGTTCACGCATGGGGTCGGTGTGTCGCGAGAAAATCGCGGCCGACAATGGAAGAAAGTCAGAATTTTCGACGACTTTTTCCCAAACCCTCAGACCGTCCGTTCTGATGTTGGACCGTCCGTTCTGATTCGCGAACGTGCAGTCCGTCCGTTCTACCCCCTGGTCCGTCCGTTCCGCTTTGCGAACGGGCAGTCCGTCCGTTCTACCTCCTGGACCGTCCGTTCCGCTTCGCGAACGGCAGTCCGTCCGTTCCACCTTCTGGTCCGTCCGTTCCACCTCGTGGTCCGTCCGTTCTGTACTTGTTTTTTCGTCTTTTTCTCCGTCTTTCGCTAGACCGGTCGGTCTACCTCTGGACCGATCGGTCTACGCCCTATTTCCTTTGTTTTTTCGACGTTTTCGACGCATTCGAGTCCCGTTGATCCCTTGGTTCGAATCTTATGCCAATCGCCTTATATTTTAGACTTTTCTTACCCTATTTTATTCCCGGAGTTAATTTAAATAAATTATTCGAGAATCGGGGTATTACATTTTCCTTTCTCCCGGTAATCACGGTTGCTACGGTTCTCAGAGGGTTCCTTTCGGGTTATGGCCGGTGTTTTGGCTATGGGCGAGGAGAGACTAGGAGGGTTTTTGAGTTTACTTAGCCGGGTTTGTTTCCTCTGGTTTTGTTTTTCGATTTGCACGGCTAAGTGCAGAAGCTCATGGAGATCACGGTATGGATGGCGCTCGACCTTCCGAGCAATACGCTCATTAAGTCCATCAAGAAATTGGGCCATCACCGCCTCCTCATCCTCATCTAATTCCAACCGACTCCTAAGGTGCTCGAATTCTTCAAAGAATTCTTCCACCGTCTTAGCACCTTGTGAGATTCGCCTATACTTACGCTGAAGTTCTCGGTGGAAATGTGGAGGAACGTATCGCTTACGCATTAATACTTTCATTTCTCTCCATGTTCTGATCGGCTCTATGTGAGCACGCCTTCTCTCATTTACCTCACGATCCCACCATGTTAGGGCACACTCGGCTAATTGGGCAGCCGCATATTGTACTTTCTTACGGTCCGAATATGAATAACACTCAAAAATGTTATCCATGCGTCGTTCCCAGTCTAAGTATGCCTCCGGATCTACTTTTCCAGTGAACAAAGGTGGCTTAAGCTTAAGATCAGCCCCTTGCCTACCATGTTATCGGTACTCACGCTCTTCTTCTTCCTCGACAACATCGGCCCATCTAGGTGGCCTAACTCTAGGACGAGGGTGCTCCCGAGGTCTTGGTAGTTCACTAGCATCAGATCCTTCCTCATGGAACCTACCTCTCGGTCTAAGGGGTCTAAGTGGTGGATCGTCGTATTCCGATTCCTCGTCGGAAATTCGAAGCCGTGGCCTATGGCCTCTACGTCTAGGAGGATATCTCCTTTCAATGACTTCCCTGACTTCTCTCTCTCTCGTTCTAGGGGCTCTACGTCTAGGGTACTCCTCACGATCGGTTATCTCCTCGACAACCCTCTCTCTTGGTCTAGGTCGTGGCCCTACATCACTCTCGCCATCGCTAAGGGATTCGGGTTCGGGGCCTCGGTTCGGCCTAGTATGAGCTAGAGGTTCTCTAGGGTGAAGTTCGGGGGGCACAGGAGGTCTATTTTCTTCTAGACGTGCCAATCTATCCATGATCTGTTGGAGGGATCTAAATATAGCGCCCTCGCTTGATTCAACATTAGCTCCCTCATTGGAGGCGTCATGGGCACTCATTTCGCACAAGCTCTCTTGCAAACAGCAACCAACACGCAACGTGCAACAATCACTTGTACTATAGAGCCTAAATGTACCAAGAATAAAGTATACGTGCAGTTCTAACTCAAACACGATCAGTCAACACGGAACGTGCAATGTCACTCAACAATTCGGGGGTTCGAGCAATCGATTAAACAAACGAACGTGCGAAACTGTCCTAATACGAAAAGAGCTAATTAGTTCCGTACTCAAGGCTTTTAGTCACGCAAATAGACAGCAATATACGAGCAGGGCCGACGTGCTTTGGACAAGGATTCACACACACAACAAGCAAACTCTCGGAAGCAACCGCCTTGCGATGGTGCACGCGATCGTTAAATCAAACAACACCCAAGCTTTTCAAGTTTCAAAAGGTTTAAGTCCGTTTTCTGGGCAAGCAACACAAATGAATGTAGACGTGCAAGGGTGGGATAAAATCTGCAACGAAACAGGGTCCAACAATCGCTATTAAGGAAAGATCTCACCGAGAGCTTTCCAAGGCCGACGTTGGAGGCGTTGTGCAGCAGCGTTCGTGCGATCTTCGGGGGGGTTTTCGGACTGCCAAAACAACACGTAATCAGCCCTTAAAAGTTTCAAAACGTTGCTACACAATCTGGTACAGAGATCGCAGATGGGAGTTGAAGGTTCGAATGAAACCGATTAACAATGGAAGTGATAGAGAAGGAACGATCTCACCCGGGGTTTTGAGCGTCCGTTGGAGCGAACAGCTCTGATACCAAAATGATGTACGCCTTAGGGCCGAGGTTAGATGCTTGGCGGAAGAGAGGGTAAGTGCCGAATGATCACTCGCCTAGGAAGGCACTCGAACTCACTCGAACTCGGTTAATGGAGTGGATGAAAGGGGGGGTGTAAGGATCAATCACTCACCCGCAAGGGGCACTCAACTTGATCCGAACAGTGGCGGAAAAGGGCTAAGGGTGAAGGATAGAAGGCCTAGGACGAACCTCAAGGCCGGCCTCGGACGAACCAAGGCAGAACGTCGGACAAACCGGCGTTGCTCGGACCAACCGAGATAATCCGGACAAACCGGGGCTTGGACAGACCAAGGAAGCTCGACACACAAAGTGGAGGAGAAGAAAATAAGATTTCTTTGATTCAAAACAAGTTTAAAAGTGGTTTACAAAGAGTACTTAGCATCCTTAAATAAAAACACAATAACAAGAGAATTGAAAGCAAGTCTACATGCAACAATCTAGCATTTAATCTGGTAGGTGGCTGTTTCTAGCTGTTGGAGGAGGTTGCTTGCTGCATAAGAAGCTTCCTTTTGAGGCTAGCTTGACTTAGAAGGTGCCTCAACTTCGCACACGAGCATATAGCGGCCCGTGGCGGATTGGACCGAGGACGAGCACACACGTTCGAGCGTAAGTTCGGACACGACACGGGATACTGAGGCATTAAGTTGTTGTCGCAGTGCCCGTGTCTTGGATCGAGTGATCGGAGGATCCATGCGAACGGGAAGTGTGGTCTCAATCCTCGGATCTTCAAGTTCCGGCTCCATTCCCGCTCCGAGCTAAACCCGTTTTGAACATCATTTGGAAGATTTTTGGGATGATAGAGTAGAAATATCTTGATGATCTAGTGACTTTGTAGAGCGTGGTTGAACCGTGTCGAATTGATAGTTCTCCAGATTTTCTATATATAGTTTGTGGGATGAGGTTGTTGTTTGGAACCTACGGAGTTGATACGACCATATCCAGGTTATATGTTTCTTGTAGAACCTTTTCCGAGTCTTGCAGGTCGATGAAATCTAGTTCAACAATTGCCTTGGGAAAATAAAGCATCTCGACACTCCGCTGTCGGAATCTCGTCAACGAAAATCGTTCGAGGACATGAGTGCATCGATTGATGGTTCGGGTCTAAGTTGTGGGTCGGACATCGCATCAAAAGAAAAAAAATATATATAAAAAACAAAGAGAAAAGAAAATAAAGAGAGAAAATGATGTCCTTCAACTTCAACGTCCTAGAAACCCGAGGTGCTAGCGTTCATTAAAGAAATTCTACAAAAAGGTAAAAATCCAGGTACAGAGTAGAACTAAGATCGAATAGGCTAAGTTGAGATAAGGATAGGTTCGGAAATAGGCTTGGTGTGTTGTAGAGATTCTAACGGGTTCTAGGTGGTAATAAAAATCCCATGGCTAGGTAGATTAGTCTTTGGTAGGAAGATCATAGTAGACCGGTTTGAGTACGATTCTCGGGAAACTAGTATTGGATGGATGTTTTGCTTTTGATCTCTTGCGATGATGCTATTTGATGTTCGTCATTCCCTGTTTTGCAGATTTTATTCCTTCGTTCTTTACTCGAGGACGAGCAAAGGTTTAAGTCTGGGGGGATTTGATAACTCCTATTCTTCTCTATATTTTGATGAGAGTTTGTCTAGTAATACGATCTATCCTATTGATTTTGATTCGAAACAAACCCATATCTCTATGTGGTTCAGAATCCAAGATAATTGATCAAGGGGTTAGCAAACATCAATCCAATAAAAGTGCAAATCAATAGAACCGAATCAAATCAAAACCGAAATCCAAGTTAGGGTTCAAACATACCCAAAACACATACGAATCCCTAACCCATAGTCATGGATCTACTCAAGGTTCATGGAAAATAATAGAAAGAACAGAGAAAAAGAGATAAAAGAAGGGATAGAAAAGCTCATGTCGATGTCTAATCTTCACGATCGAATCCTCCTTCTTCTTCCCGAAATCCCATGAATTTCTATTCTTCTCTCCCCAAAAGCTCTCCAAAAATCTGTATCTAGGTGTTCTCTGAGGTTCTCCCCTCTACTAGGACGTGGCTAGGGCTTTTTTATAACCCTAGGGCGGCTCCCAAGAGTCCTATTCCCATTCAAATGCTGAAAATCGCGAAACAGGGCTTTAG